TTAAATAGTTTTTAAGCGTATTTTATCCTCGCTTACTTGAGATTACAGTATTATAATGTAACTTTTCTCCCACATAGTTGCCAACTCTTCTATGCCTGTATGGAGGATCGAGGAAAATGTTCCGATTGGTACTCGTGTGGGGAAGATTTCTGCCTTTGATCCGGACCGCCTCGATTTTTCCTCAATTCTCCAGACCCAAGCGCAGACGTATGCTGCACTTCGCCCGATGGCCTGGGATAGTCAGTCCGCGTCTGGGACCGTAAACATGATTTTTAAACAATGGATGTTAGATGGCGGTCTTGAAAATGGGAATCAGTTGAATCGAAACGGCTCATGGCAGATGAGATGGAACCAAGAAAGGCAGGCCAGTAGCAGATCAGCCTGGGAAAGGTATCGACGGCAGGTTGATTCCAAGCGTGACAGATCTGTAAAAGATACACCAATGAGCGCAATTGGAGTTAGTTACAGAATTGCCAATCCATGGGCTTGTAGCGAATTCCATGTGGATGCAATCTCGGGTGTTGTCACTACAGCTGCGGAGCTTGACCACGAAAAGGTAGGCTTTTACTGAAACTTTAGCCACATAGCTTGAGATAATTAAACATAATAGTTAAATCTAGCATTCATATCAATCTCATTTGATGCTTTCATGAACAGTCAAGTCCTGTATTCATAGTTATTTTTCTATTCTAAAAATTATCCTTTTGGTATCAGGCCACTTCGCCGCCTTAAGTACACTTTGAAGTTGCATACATCTTTTTGAGGTGAGGTCCAATTCAATAGCAAAACCTTAAGGATAAACTATATGCAGAGCAACACATTAATTTCGATATAGCTTATGATCCTTCAGTGTTATCAAATCCACATAATTCGTATTGCCTCGGTTGCTTCAGAGCTCTATAGCAAGCCGATGGGTTGCAAGGAATTTTAGTAAAAATGTTCTATATGGTCTGTTTCCAAATCCATTTGCATTTTGTATCCATAAAAATTTTACCATTCAGATTCTTTCCTAACTTTTCACATTTTCGAAGCAGCCTCAATATTCCTTGCGGTATTCGAACTTGGTACATATAGGCATTAATCATCACACTGTTAGATTACCATATATTTTCTCGTTTCACCAGAAATAGCAAATATTTCCAGTGGCCTGATTCCAGATATTTTCGGTGAACTGAATGTTGAGAGTATTTCAGGAAATTATGTAACCGACTGCTTAATGTTATATTGTCGAAGGATACAAGAGAAGGTTATTCAAATACAGCTCATTGGCCATAGAGACATATTGTATACCGGTTGGGCACTTTTATCCTGTTTTAAT